AGGGCACTCTGCGCCCCGCAGCCCGCTTGCTAGGGCTCCGGCTTTGGGGAGGTCTCTGGGGATCGCCTTCTGGACTCCGCTAAGGAGCAGGCAGAGCCGCCGCCGCCTCCCGCAGCCCTGTGCCCGTTAATCCTTTCCCGGGAAGAATTTAATCAGCCGCCTCCACCTCGCCTGCCCCCGCCTCAGCTAACGGGAAATTTCCACTGGGGCAGGCCCGGACTCCACAGTCCATGTGTGTTACAGTTCCGGCCCCTCTCCTGGGAGGAGACCCAGCTCCTGGGAGGCTGGGGAGAGTCTGGCGCCAGGCACGGTGTCCCGGGGGTAGAGTTCCTGTTCCCTGTGAAGGGGGAGTGGCTCTGGGGCTGGGTATCCTTAGGGTGGGTGGATAGCTCTGGCATTGGGGGAGGGCAGGCTGAGGTAGGGGTTGGAGTATGTACCTGGGGTAGGGTGATCAGTGTGGGTAACTAGGTTCCTAAGTTCTGGGATGGGTGTCCCCCCGTATAAGGGTTTGGATGCTGCAGGCTAAGGCTAGTAGGAAATTGTGTTCCTAGTGGTTGATCGATATTTAGGAACGGGGGTTCTTTGGGGTGGGGTTCTCCCAGGCACTTCTCCTTTCTAGTGTGGGAGATTGAAGGTGCCTCTGGGTTGGGTGTTTGGGATGAATGTCATTATCTGGGTTGCTGCTGCTGCTGTGAGTTGAGTGTGAAGTCGGGTGCAAGGGGCAGAGAGGGCAGTACATCTGAGGACAGATGGCGCAGATTATCCCCCTTAATGGTATTTATGGTTGGGGCATTTCTGGCTCTTTGGGGGAGGGGAGCGCAGTGTGCCGGTACCAGGAGAAGGAGGTGTTTCTAGCAGGACGGTGTGAGTACGTTTCTGTGTGGAGAAGACTGTGTGGTTTGGCTTCCTTGTAGACCTGCAGAGGCTCTGGTGTCTGGATAGGAGGCAGCGAAGGCGGTAGTAGCAGCAGCAATAGCAGCAGAGTCACTGTCCATGGTGCAGAGCCTGGATTATACCTTCTTTCCTTTGCTTCGTGCCACTGAAATGATCTAAAATCCCACCTTCTTTCCCAGATAGTTCCCCTTTCACGTCCCCCACCTTGCCCCTTTTTTTCTGTCTCCCTCCCCTACATTCTCTACCCTTTTGCTAGGGTTTGATGGCTGCACCCTGCATGGGAGGTGCTGAAACACTGATTCTAAACAGCTGGGGGATTTTCTCTCTAGTTTAAGAGGATGTTAGTTTTCATGATAGAAAATTGTCTGACTGGGTACCCAGGTTCCTTCCATATGAAACTGCTGTCCTACTCTGAAACATCTTTTAATAGGTCACTAAGAAGGTTGGTTTGGTTTTCTGGGTTTGTGTATAGTGGGGAAATCTGGATGGTGGTTGTTTCTGTTTTATTAATTTGGCAGAGCCATACCTTTAGCTTCTTTATGGGTGTTTTTGTGTGGTCTGTACTGTGCTTTTTTTCTGTTTATACACCATATCACTTAGTAAATCTTTTAAATCATGAATTCTGCAGTAGGCTATTATTCCACCATCTTTTCACCCAGAGCTGATTTAAAATTAAAGCACAATGAATTAAGGACAGGAACTAGCCTAATTGCTTTTGTGTATCACTCCAGTTACGGTTGGGAAATCCAATTTCCCCCTTGTTTGGGTATCTACTAATTCAGGTTAGGGCTGTTTTTAATGGAGCGTAACAAAGTTGGAACTTAGGTATGAAATCAGTTTTATAAATCTATGTTTGGAAACCAGTTTTTTAATTTTAATAGATTTTATTCATTACTTATGTACTGCTAAGAAACTTAATAGATACATTATAACTTTTTTCTATAGTGACTGCTTCTGGTAAACAAAAGTTAATTTGGGAGAGATTATTGTGAAATATCCAAGCTACTTGCTGTTAATTTATTTTGTGATTTCAAATCACAAGTTATTGTTGACTTCATTTGTCAGTGGTGTAGTGAGTGAAGCAGTCATGTCTGAGTTATTTAGAAGATGATTAGAACTGGAAAATATTGGGAATGAGATTTTTATAACAATTTATCTTTGAGAAAGGGTGGAATTTAAGAGCAGATACTAATCTCAGTTTTTCAGCAACATCTGCAGACCATTTGAGGTTAGAAATTGGCCCTTTGCTGGTGATGAATTTTAACATGTTTCTGTTGCTGCTATGCAAAAGCTTAATATCAAAGGGGGTAAAAGGAGATATTTGCTTTGCTATCAGAATCACTGGTGAAGTGAATAGCCAAGAGGACAGGTTACTGATAAGAGTGATCTGAATGGCTATGTAAACTAGGCACAAGCAACTTGTGTTCTTAATATGGCTAAATATATACCTGTAGGAATCAGGAGTGTAGAACATATTTACACAACAGGGAACTCTCTTCTGAGAAGTAAACTGTGGAAAGGGAGATAGGGAGAGTTGGTAATAAGCAGATGAAATGAGTTCCCATTATGAAAGAGCTAATGTTATCCTTGAATACATGAGAGAGGATTTTACCTCCTTATGGTAGAGCAGGTGTGTCTGCTATTAGAAAACTGGCATTAACAATTCAAGAAGGATGTTGATAAATTGGGGGTGTGGTTCAGAGAAGAGCCAAAAGAATTATGAAGAATCAGAGTCAGAGGGGTAGCCGTATTAGTCTGACAAAGCCCATGAAAGTTTATGCTCCAATAAATCTGTTAAAGAATTATGAAAGGATTAGAAAATCATGCCTTATAGTGATGCATTCAAAAAGCTCAATCTATTTGGCTTAAGAAAGAAGGTTAAGGAGTGACCTGGTTATTGTCTATAAGGACCTATGGAGGAAACAAATATCTAAAAATGGGCTCTTCTGTCTAGAAAAGAAAGGTATAACACGATTCTGTGGTTGGAAATTGAAGCTCGACAAGTTAAGACTGGAAATAAGGTGTACATTTTTATCTGAGAGCAATTAACCATTGTCAATGGGGTTCCGGTGAATTATCCATTGGTAACAATTTTTAAATTGGTCCTTATTCTATAAAATGTGCTTTTGTTTTGGGGGAGGTCTATGATTTGTCTGATTCATGAGGGGTCACAGTTGTCCCTTCTGGCCTTGGAATATATGAAAACATCAACTGCTACTGTGGGGGTAAGGAGAAAATTGAAATAAAAACAGGAAAGCTGGATGGACATAGAGTTGTGAGGGAGTGGCACTGTTGAAAGAAGTATATCTGACCTTCAAAGGTTTGATGGAAATGCAAAGAACAATTAAGCACTCAGAAGGGGAACTGTGATTTTTTTTTTTTTAATATATGAAAGATGATTGGATAGCTGTGGTGGGGCTCGGACACTATGGTCATGGGCCAATTAGAACAATACAAATAAGTAAAGTGATATTGAGCCTTTCACACCTAAGTTTCTGGTTTGAACTTCACCTAGACCAATAGAATGAATGTTGGTTTTGTTTCATTTCCTAGTAAATGAATCCATATGGCAAAACTGCCCCCTAAGTTTCACTGAAATCCCTGTTAGCAGCATCAGTGAAAAAGAAATGGTTGAATTCCTGTATAGCAGGGGTTGGGAACCTTTTTTGGGTCAGGAGATGCTGACCCACAGAAAAATCAGTTGGGGGGGGGGGCGCTGCACACAAGTGAGAAGGTGGGGGGGGAAGCCCCTGACTGAGATGGAGAAAGGCATTTCCCATATTCCCCTTGCATACCAAAGACTAGGGGGGCCCAGACTAGTAGATTTTGTGTGCTCCAGGCCCTCGGTGGCAAGGGGAGCTGGAGTGCTCCCCAAAGCTGGGGTAAACCTGATTCTCAGGGTCAGGTTCCCCACCCCTGTTGTACAGACTGAAGTACCCTCTCACCTCTAGCTGTGGTTTTTTAGATCATCTTTTAAGATGCTTTGGTAGTGTAGTGTGTGTGTGTGTGTGTGTGTCCGGTTTTGGGAGAGGCTTCAGTCTCCCTCACCAATGCTGGTATATTTCACAAATATTACTTCACTAAAATATATTAAAAGAACATTGTGAAAATATGATTATATTACCACAGGCATGAGTATTCGGGGCATGATACTGGTAACTATTTTTTAATTCTTTTGTTTTTAACTGAGTAGATGTTATCTTCGCTATATTACTTTGAAAGTTACAGAAGGCATATTTAAAATATTATTGAAACACTTACTGACCTACTGAATCAATAGTAGAATAGTTGCCATGTGAAACTTTCCAGATGTTCAGGTAGAAAATTCTATATTATTGAACATTAGATGCATCCTAATTATTATTCCTAATACACCCACTTTTGAAGAGTCAGTGGAAAACTTTTAATCTGATAAAAACTTATTTTAAGATTTGTTTTGTCCTACAGCAATTAGCAGCATCACAAAAACTATAATCAAGGATCTATAGTCATGGGATGGTCTCTGTGTTACTGGTGTCTCCACACTTCCTGTGGAAATGCAGAACTTTTGACAGAAAAGTAAAAGGATTTTTTTTTTTACATTAACCGACTGTTCATTAACTGGAGGAAGACACATTAAAATGTGTTTTGTGAAATGATTTGGGATCTTTAGCAGCTTTCTTTATTAGACTTAAAGATGACTTTATTCTAGAAATTGACTCTGAGATAAAATAATTGGGTTTTGACACACACAAAATTTCTATCTTATTAACCCAGTTCATTTTGTTTTGTTAGGATGATAGAATTACATTAACATTGTATGTTATGTGTACAGGATGTTAAACTAACCTTACATAAATAAAGCATAAATTTTTTTAAAATCTGTTAAAGACATCATGTTTAAAAAGAGCCGCCTCTTTTCTTCCAGCCCCATCGCCCCTCCCCCAATCATACACACAATTTGCTATGGTGTTATTTTGAAATACAAGCCTATAAATAAATTCAGCGTAAGATGTTATAATAAATAATATAAACTACTTTTGACAACTGAATGAAATGGCCTTACTTTAAAACTGCAATTAATTTGGCAGAGGATATGTATATCCAAAAGTTTAGCTTCTTGCCTTCATCTGGCTACTGCTCAACTCAATGGAAAACTTCCAGGAACTTCATTGGGAGCCACTTCAGGCCCAGCATTAAAACAGATAGTTTTTCTTTTTGTTTTATAAAGAACTCTTAAGTTTCACTTGATCTGGGAAAAAACAACAATGTAGAACTTTAAAGACTAACAAGATGGTATATATGGTCATGCCATTTCTCTTCCAGAATATGATCTGAGGAAGTGGGTCTGGTCCAGGAAAGCTCATCACCTATTAAACCATCTTGTTAGTCTTTAAAGTTCTACATAATTTTTCCTTCTGTTTTAGCAAGATCAGACTAACACAGCTACCTCTCTATTAGAGTTCTTTAATTATTTAACAAATATTCAAAAGGTATACAAAACAAAAAAGCATACAGCAGAGAAGTAAGAATAGCTGAAGGAAGTTGAGTAAACTTATTTTTACTCATTAGAGATGATCATGCATAAGTGACTCATGTTCTGCTTCTTTTCTGATCTTGTGATTGATTGTGCTGACTCCTCATTTGTGAAAATTATTTCCCCATATGTGGTATTATCTTTTAAGTAGGATATTTTTTTCCTAGTTCATATCAGGAATGAGGAGTGCAGTGTTTTGGATAACAGCATTTGGATAACAGAATGGCTTAAAATATCTCTCCCAGTTTGGCTGTTGACTTGCAAAGTACAGCATCAAAGGCCTTTTTTATACCTTTTGCCAAATAATGCTATATATTTTCATTTTGTTCATGTATAGATAATTTTGAGAAATATATTATTGAATGAATATCTTCCTACCGGTATGTCTTTGTATTCTTCCTTTCTTAGGTTAACATGCGTATTGATATTGAAGACTCCAATAAAGACTTATATGCGTATTTAAGTTTGTGTATGTGAGCAGTCCCAGTGGAACTAAACAAACCCTATATTATATCCATTTTAAAACTCATTATTATTACATTTTAATGAGCATGCAGAGGCCCCCTGATTGGAATAGAGGTTTCATTCTCCACAAATAAATAAAAATAGTGGTCCTTTTCCCAACTTGTGATGTCCCAATCCTGCAAAGATTGTGTGTGACAGAGATGATTTTTTACAGCAAAAAGTGTATTGAAATTTAGATAATCTGATTATAACTGTCCCCTCTGCCCTGAGCCTAGCCATTATTAATTAACAAAATATTAGTCTCATTGATTAGAGGGTTAGTCTTGTGGGCACAGGAGAAAGGTGTAGGATCCTTAAACATGGATCAATTCAGGGAAAGCTTATATTGTATCAAAACCAGCTAATGAAAGAGTTTTTAGTTTATTGACCTGAGAGTAATCAGTTTTGGTCTGAGTGCCAGGATTACTCAACTTCACTTTGCAATTCTTTCAGCAGTTTAGAAGAGGACAATGCCGACTGTTGGGAAATCTGCAACCTAATCTGTTTGATTAACAATTGGTTCAGATCCTACACTTCTTACCTGAGTCCCCGGGAGTTTGGTTTAGCCTGAATGAGGAAAGAAAATTTAGGCTTTCAATTTTCATAAATGATTTATGAGAATAAAATTTGCAGCTTGCAAAATGGCAGGTCCATAAATGCCAAGTCTTTTGCTTACATTATTATTTGGTTTCAGTCAATATTTATTGATTTGATTGAGAAACACAGTCCTAAAAACAGTGTTTACCCTTTCCTCTAGGTGTGACTTGGAATATTTAAAAAATAGATTTCTACAAACACTCCCCCAGGGACTCAGTAATCACCACCCATCAGCTGAACATAGTTCAGATCTTATGATCTCCCACCCATCTCTGGCAGTCAGGAAAAACAAGTAGGCCTTGCAAGTGCCCAGAAGATTAGTAAAGTAGACTTTACATTTTTACTTTACTATCAAACAAGTTTGTGATTAGGGGTATTCTAAATCTTTTGTATTATGATGTATAAAGTATGTGTGTGTTTTCCTTTTTAAGTAAAATAAACTGTGAAGCACAACTCAAAATAGTAGTTTTGTCCTTTACAAAGTCTTAAGATGAAGATGGCTTCAGATTTTTACAAAGTTTATTTTTCTAATTAGAATGTTGAGATCTGATGGACACCTTTGTCATCTTTTGTGGATGAAATGTCTTAAGTTTTTCATTACCCTGTGCTTTCCCAGTGGTAGGACAGGAAATCTGCAATTTCAACAGCCTCTTGTTACATCAGATACTTCATCCTGTTTGCTTGAGCACATGTGCGTTTTTGGAGTAAGGGTCTTGTTTCTAGGGCTAGGCAAAAGCAGGAAAATAGTGTTTGGAGGTTTTTGTGAATGGGAAAGCAATAGTCAATGACGACAACTTTCTTTTTGCTTTGTAATTCATTTTACTGAACACGTGTGCAGATAGAGTAGGTTTTTTTTTTTTTTTTTTTTTTTTTTAAATTTGGGGCAGAGTAAATATTTTAAAGAAAGCTTAACAGTTTGCTTTAAGAATCAACATTTTCTGATTAGAAATCCCCTGGCTTAATGAGGTACTAGACCAGATTAGATCTGAAGAACTTTTAATGAAAAACAAATCAGGAGCATTTTAAATACAGCCAATTGAAATACCATGAATAGGTTGCTCTAAAGCTGAACTCTGGAAGCCCTGAACTTACAAATAAAAACTTGAATGAAAGCAACATTTCTTCCACTGATTCAAGCCAACAGTGGAAAACAATACCCCATTCCTGCAGAGTTCCACAGAGTGAAATCTTGGTCCACATTACAGGTAATGAAAGAACTCCCATTTACTTCAGTGGGGCCAGGATTTCATTCATTGACTTGAATGGGACTGCCCACTTGTTTTGAAGGTAAGCACATTGTTTGCAGGATTGGGGCTCAAATGTAAAATTACATCCGGCCACAATTGCAAAATTCCAGTTATTAAGAAACAGCAAACAACTTGGTATTTCAGCTCTATCTTACATTGCAACTTTTGATAATGCACAGAAATCAGAAAATACTATGTAAACTGTTTTAACTGAGAAGCTGATGCTTATTGGTTAAACTCAGCTGGCTCCAAAGCCTACTCTGTGGGAGCCAGGCAGGCAAGGACCACAAAGTCTCCTCTCCAGGATCCAGGTTAGTAGGCTGGAGGTCCCATTCCTGCAGAGGAGACTTAGCTCTATACTGCACAGCCTGCAGCAAAGTTTTATACCACACAGCCCACAGCATGTGTAATTGTGTAACTACTTTTTTTTTAAGCATTCATACGGTTAGTGTATTAAATGATTTTTAACATCCCTGATCTTGACTGTTTCTTCATTCATCTATGCATTTCTGGAGTATAGTCTATTGTTCTTTGTCCTGAGAGGTTTCATCCTTTCTTCAATTGTGGGAGAACTTGTCCATCTTTGGGGGTAGGAGTGGGAAAAGGAGTCAGAACTGTGAGTATCTGAATGCCTTTGCCTGCATCACTGATGTAAAGTGAGTGGGTTCTTCCAGCCTGAGTTAAAGGGTAACCTGGATCCAAATTTATACCCACATCTGGATAAGCTGCTAGACTGTGCTTATTGCATCTCCAAACCCTGATAATAGTTTTGTGTAGGGGTGGGGGCTGGGCTAAAGCACAGATAAGAGGCTGAGTTAATGCTGCAGTGAAGATACAACCTTAGAGCATAGGTGGGCAAGATGGCCTCCATGGGCTGGATCCGGCTCATGGCCCACACCCAGGCCAATCAAGACCAGGCGATGGGGGAATGTGCAAAGTCTCCTCCCTCGCCAGGGGTGTGCAGCACCAGAGGGAACTGCCAGCTGTTTTAAAAGAGCAGATGGTTCTCTCTAGCCACCATGCACCCCTGGCAGGGTAAGGGCAGGAGCAAGACATTTCACATGCTCCCACTCCCCTAAGTCCTGATTGGCCTGGGGTGGGGGAGTGCACAGTCTCCTCCTGCAGCCAGGGGTATGCAGTGCCTAGAGGAAACTGCCAGCTGTTCGGAACAGTTGGCAATTCTCTCTAGGTGCCAGGGGGGTGGAGGGCAAAGACTTCACATGCTCCCCCCAGGCCAATCAGGATCTGTGGGTAGGGGAGTAGGAGAAGTCTCCTGGGCCCACTCTCTGGGGTGGCCCAGGGCCACTTCAGAAATTTGTCAAGTGCCTCCCCCTTAAAAATTATTGCCCACCCCTTCTTTAGAGGCTTTAAAACACCCCTTAAAATTAGAAGGTTTTGGTAACAGTATGTGTATCTGCCTTTTATATTAAAAGGTAAATTTTTCTGTAGTCATCTCTTGTGGATGATTGTACCATTTGTGTTATATTTTGCTCAAGCTGGTCTTCTGGACTGTGCTAGCCACAGAAAAAGCCTTATATATTACAACAGTATGCCTTATAATCTCCCTTTTCCTTCTTTCTTTTGTCTCAGACAATAAGGATAGGAAAACGCATGTCAATATTTTCTTGATCATAACATTTCATACTTTTACTTCAGGTTGTTTTTTCTGGGAGATATTATTTTTTAAATCCAGTCGTGATTTTTAATACTCCTGAGCTAAACTTGATATGACTGAGATCTTGTCATGACTCAAGCTATGCTTTTATTTAACTGAAAATGCATGACTTAGGTTTTTTTTTATACATTAGAATTCTGCCTCCTCTTGGGGTTTTATTCCCAAAGGATGTTTTACAATGGGCTGTTTTTGGGAACAGCATACTGTCTTTTGTTTCTGGATAAACTTGAGAGTTTGCAAATGAAGGAATAAAGAGGGCTCTTTATTCATGTCCTGAAGTCTTTGTTTCATTGGGCATTGTTTCAGTTTATAAGAGTTGTTTAGTACATATAGTTTGTTGGAAAGGCTGAAGGATTCCCAGGCACATTAGTGCAGGCTTCTAAAAATCCTGTTATCTCTACTTTGTTTCCCATTTAGGGTTTATTTAAGGGATGCCTTGAAAAGACTATTGTCCTATCACAAGTGTGTTCATCTTGGCACAGTAGTGTAAAACAGTTCTTTTTTTTTTTTTCAATTCTGGAAGCTATGGAACAGTTATTTGAATTATAAAGTTAGGAAGATTCAGTCAATTTTTAATTTACTAGTTTTTCAGTGGGGGGGCAATCTTTACATGTCTTTGTCATTTATAAATCTTGAGATTTGGCTGAACTTTCAATACAAGTCCCTCCTAATGTAAGAGTTATGATCTTCCTATTTTTTATATATATATACACACACACACACACACACACAATTGCAAAGTTATAACTCTTAAATTACAAGGGATTTGTAAAGATGCGTAGATTGTGCATAGCTGGGAGATCTTTTGTTGCACCTAGATCACAATTAATTCCAGTTCACAGTTTAAAGTTAATTGGACACAGATACATGTAACTACTTTGTACAGGTGTTTACCCTGATTAAAATGTGTTACCTCATAATGGATGATAGACTAATTAAAAGCAAAACTGCAGTATGCTGGCAGAATTTCTGTTCTGGTACAACTCTTGAGATGAACCAGAATCAGCTAGATGAGGCTCAGATGACCATTTCAAGAATTTCCCCAAGTGATAAACTTTTTGTAATGGGAATTGGAATGCTGACTACCCGTATGTGGAAATGGAAGATGAGGGTACATGTATCCCCATTAATGAATCAAAAAAACTTGAGCTATAACATGTATGAATATGTCTGAGATCTGTAAGACCATTTAAAGGGAGTCAAATATGGTCCATTATCACAATTACATATTTTGTTTTATCTATCACTTTCAAAAGGTAAGGGCTAAAATTATATAATAATGGATACTCGGGCTTTAGCAGCAAGAATATTTTTAATGACATGAGTTATTTGGCAACACAACTTAAAATTATGATTAGATTTATTTGGTTCATTTGTATATTAGTAGCACATATAGCAAAATCCTATGTGGTTACTGTAATGACTATACATAGCTGATGAATTAATTATTTAACTCTAAAACCTGCTTGAAAATAAAGGAGAAAGAGTTAGTTGAAAATGGCCATTTAAATGCCTATTGTGGAAGTTATTTTCCCCAAATTGCAAAAGATGTGTGATTTGGAAAAAAATTTGTTTTCAAAATGAGATTGTAAATTCAGTTTCATTGTAAGTTAATATATTGCTTTGTTATGCTGATTTTAAAAAATATCTCCTTCTCTCTTTTAACACTCTTTTCACCCAGAAGGTGTAGTACGATAGTACGTCCTTTCTGTGATTTCTGTTTAAATGTAGGTTCAACTGTTTAAAATGTTACATATGATTTTTCCCTCCAACCATTTACCTATAGAGTGAATGCAGACAAGTACTCACAACCAAACATTTAAACTGCTAGTTAAATCTCTTCTATCAAAAGTAGCATATACACGTTTGAAAAGTTGATGATGAGTTTTATGCAAGGTTTATTTCCAGGGGAAGGAATGCTTTTGTCCCCTCTGTTATTCCACTTCAGTCTCAATGACTGTTTTAGTTGAAATGTTCAGTTGTTAAAGGAATCAAGATTGTGTGTTATTTACGTCTTACAAGACAAGTGGGATTTGTTCCATCATTCCAGTTATCAAAAAGATTAACCCTTTGCCCCCAGAGTTCTAATTGAAGCTCTTTAGAAACAAAAGATGGTGTAGCAACAAATAGGGTTTATGCCAAGTGAAATGTTTCTAAGCTGAATGGGAAGTGCAAGTATTACATAAATTTTGTCTTGTATTTCAGGCACCAATAAAAGCAACATGTGAAGGCATACTATGCAAGACTGGATTTCCCGAAGACGTTTACAATGCGGTCATATCGAGGAGTTTAGATGAAGGACAGCCTCTTCTCAATGGTATTGTTAGAAGAGACATTCTGTTTATTATTATCTATAGTCTTAAAGATAAAGTGGACTCAAGGGGTTTTTAAAAACTTATTAAATAAGACCTTTTTATTTCAGCTGTATTACTTGATTTTTTTCCCCCTCAACTTACTGTAATGGAGCTTGAGGGATAGTTTGTTGACCTTAACAGTAACTTGTGAACCTCCCATGACAATAATTTGAAGATTTGTGAGTTCTGGCAAATCTTACCTTGACTCTCCCGTTATGTTCTCCTTAGCAAAGATTTCACATTGAACTGTTTCTTATATATTACTTCTTAGTAATTGCACTATTAGCATATGTCCTCACTGTAGTACCAGAAACAACCTTTACGTGACTATCAATGGAGGAGTAAGAGCCTTCCCCTTCCACCTTATATGATCTATGAAGGGGTCATACATGCTGCATTCTTTGTGCTCAGGCTAGCACCAAGCCTATTTTCTTACTATTTCTTTTGAAGCCCACCTTTGAAGCGACACTCAGATAGCAGAGCCATGGCTCTCCCCTTCCATATGTTGGCCAGTTAAGTTTACTGCTCACATGGATGTAGGAGAGTATACCTAAGAGATGTAGCAGTGCGCCTGCTACGCTAGCACTCTGGGGTCTCTGGGAGGAGTTCTGGCAAGGAAGCAGAATATTGCCATTGCTACCTGTTAGGCACCTTGGCTCTTTATTGCCCCAATTCAGATCTATGTCTTACTGACACAAAAACCAGCCCAGAATGAAGCCTACAAAGTCCTAATACCACAACAGACTCTGCAAGTGCAGACCGTACATTCCTGTGTCTATGTTGAATTTAACTGAAGTCACTGGAATAATCTGGACTGGAGATTTAATGTGCAGTTCTTTGTCTTATTTTTGGGGAGGTACAGGTGGTGTTTCTCTTTCTAGAATGCAAAATGGCATATTTCCTAAGTTTTTATTAGTGTATAAAATTGCACCTCAAGAGTTACATTTAAGTGGAATTGTAATATGGTCTAAAATGTAAGCAATACACATTAATTTTGCTGTTTTATAATTTGTGAATATGGAAGAAATTGCTTTCTAGCTAATTTAGAAATAGCGGAGCTAATCAACAGGATTAGTTTCAAGAAGTTTCTGATACATCTTAAATAAGAACGGATTTAATTCCATTAATTGTTTCTGTCCCATATGAATATGGCTATAGAGATCAAGACATTGAAATGAAAAGATCTTTCTTAAATGAAGCGAAAACACAAATGGTTCTTTGAAACAAAAGCATTAGTCTTGATTTAGCAAACTGTATGCAGCAGTATCTCCTGATAATTATATTTTAAGGACCCGTTTTGTGCTTTAATAACTATAATGGAAATTTGAATGCAGAAATAATTGATTATCTTTAATGTATTAGAAACTGAGTTATTCAAGTATTTGCCTTTCATTTCAAGGAAGTAAATGTTCCCCATTGCAGAATTTATTTTGTTAAAATATTTTGTTAAAAGGATAGCTTAGAAATTAATGCAATAAATTGAAGTTCCTATTTTTCCTAACAGGGTAGTCAGCTAGGAGGGAACTTGGGGATTTTTTCATTCTCCAACATATATGTATTGTTGCTTATTTTACAGTAGCACCTATGGTTCTCACTGTGGTAGGTGCTGAACAAAGACCACAGACAGCATTGTTCTTGCCCTGGAAAACCTACAATTTAAGGAGAGAAGTGCTTGTGGAAGGGTTCCTGTTTGGAAGAACTGGAGACAGAATGCTTGTAATCGTAAAACAAGAGACCACAGACAAGTGAAATCTTCCCTACATTGCTCTGTTCAGTCTCCTTGGCTGTTCAGTCTTTTCTCTCATTTGAAATTTCTGACAAATCTTTTTCCTTAGTTTTAACCAGACAATTTTCTTTTGATTTAACCCCCCCCCCCCCAAAAAAAAAACTATCTGCTAAAAATTGAACTGAGATATCAGACTCGTTTCATATCAACCATCTGATGGTAATGACTTTGTCACTACTAATCTAAGGGGGATTTGAGACAATACCATGTAGAGGAAAAACTTCTGCATTCACTGTCAGCTTCATGAAGCACTCAATACACTACTGATTTTTAACGTTTTTTCTTCCCCTAAATGTGTAGTGTAATATAGCCAGTCTCCCCTTGAAAGATATTAAAATGTATGACATTTTAGGGAAATAGGAATTGAAAAAATGTACAATGCATACAATATGTATCACATTATGCGAGATAGTATGAACTAGTTGAAAAATGACCTGGGGGAGTTTGTCTTCCTACCACAAGTTCTCAGTAGAATTATTATAATGGTTAATTCTTTTGAACATTTTGACATGCTTAAAAGCATATAATTTGCCATTACACATAAACATACAGTGCATCGTTGCATGTCTTTGACTTAAATGTAATTATACTTTCATTCTGAAATATGATTGTTGTGAAAAGCCCATTTGATGATTATTAAGCTAGATGCAGATGACAATTGAAGTATAGTTGCATGACATTTTGCTTTCCAAAGAAAAATTCTGGAACTGATTCTGATCCCATGAGTAAAGAGTCTCCTATCTTTAACTCCATTGAAGTCAGTGGAGTTACTTCAGAGTCACTCTAATTATAGGTTTCCTTTGGGGTTGCAGAAATGAGAGCTTTAAAAAAAAATTTTGTTTGTTGTGTGTGGTTTTTTTTTTTTTTCCTATGCATTGTGATATCACAGGCACAGAGACTTTATTATCCTCTCCACTGGAAATAAAATAGACAGTGGCTGCTCACTTTGTTTTCTTTCTTAAAAAATGTTGACTCAGAACGTGACCTAAGCATGTAATTCCTGTTTTATTAATTCCTGTTTATATTATTGGTTAGACGGCCATCATCTTTAAGGTTTCTGATTATAGAATTTTATATTCCCATCCTTCCCAAAACTTAAATGAAAGTCACTTGTGACTAATAGAGATCATGACTAAGAATATTCCAGTTGTACATTCAGTAAGATGCAATAAATAGAAGGAATCTGTTTTAAAATATTATAAATGAACATATACTGTACTGGAGGCCCCCAACTTGTGATGCAGTTGATTCCAGTGGATGCGTCACAAGTCAGGGGTGTCATAACTCGAACCCTCATTTACAACAGGTGCTGTGTGCCATCATAAATGCAGGCCAAGGTCATAAGTCAGGGGTTTTCAGCCCCTTCCGTGCTTACAACCATTTTTGTAAGTGCAGGGGGTCGGAACTCGGGCAGTTGCAAGTCGGGGGGCCTCCTATACAGGATATTGGGTGAGGATCTATAGCTCACAAACCACTTAGGATCCTGTATATTCTGGGTGGTTGTGGTGTGTTGTTTTTTTTTTTAACCGTTTCTAAGTTTCTTCACTTATGATCTTTTCTAAAGAGGTAGAGGGGGAGATATTTGCAAAATAGAAGTTTTTGCTTCCTCTTAATAGGTGAACACTTCCTAGTAGATGTGTCTCTAATACAGTGTTTCCTAACTGGCAGGGTTTTCACAAATGTCAGACTAGCCTGGGATGTGTGGGGAATAGCCTGGCAGAGGAGTAGAGAAGAGAAGAAGCAGTAAGGACAGAAATGGCTGCATAGCTCTGCATCCACTCAATGCTTTCACTGTATATGCTTTCTGTGGCAAGCCACAAACGGCAACTATGTCTAGCGAAAGAGGCAGAATGTAGCAGATGACTCTCAATTGGACATTTTGCAAAAAACATGCAGATTACTAAGAGCAGTAGGAACAATCCAATAGGATGTGTTGCAGTGAGGAGCTTGAGAAATATAGGCATTTCCTGGTCAGGGAGTTTTAATTGCTGCTTAAAGAATTCTTCTTTGTGTTTGTCTTCACACTGCACTCTCCTCTTTCTAAGGGTAAAGAAGTAGGTAGTTCCCGGAGTGTTCCCTGAGTGTTGCCTATCTTCTGTCCCTGTTACTACTAGCTTTAGCAGCTGCTGTAGAAATAGGAACTGTTCATACGGTTACTGGTGCAGTCTCTGATAAACTCAACCCACAGGCTCAAGTATCTCATTTATTTCCATTTCACTTCTGTCACACCATGGATAAGACAGCTATGTGTGTGGGAGGGAGGGGGGCAAACATTCTTTCATTTGCAAGTTAAAGTTCACAGCAAGGTTAAAGAATCTTGACTCATTTTTTAATCTTAGAATTACATTATTCCTGTGATCAAGATGCAGTACAATCATGTCACTATGGCCTAGTTCAGAGTAACTCCTAAATGTAAACAGAAGATATGGGGGGCTGATTTTTTTGCTCACTCTTTAAATCATTATTATTCCAATTATTTCAATGAAGTTATTCTGCTTTACGTAAGTGTAAATGAGCTCTGAATCAGACTTGCTATTGTCTGCATAAAATTAAAAATCTCTTGACTACAAATGGTATAGAACACCTTTCACTCCTTTCCTAATTCCTATTATGGTTTAAATGCAGACAAAGTTGTGGTCTCTCTCGATAGAACCTGAGATCCATCCTAATCCTTCTTTAAAGCACTTCTCTGGTTTTCAGGAGCTAGAATAAAAATTTTTGATTTGAGTCAGTGGGATCTAATGGCTACTAGGACTACAGGCAGTCCCTGACTTACCCGGCTCCAACTTACGTCGGATCCGCACTTACAAACGGGGCTTTTCTCGCACCGGAGGACGCGGGCGGCGGACCGCCCAGACACGCCACAGTCCCGCCGCCCGCCTCCTC